CAAAGCGAAACTGTCCAACGTCCTGGATCGTCACCTGATTTGCTTTGGACAATGCCACGTTGGCCGTTGATTGCTCTGTGCCAACTTGGATCCTCGACGGCGCCCAAATGGACGAGCGACGGCTGGCAGTTCGGGCATGGCCAACGGTGGCGGGGCGTTGGTCAAGGTAGCGCGCGAGATGCCACCGTGGGTTGCAGGCTTGGTTGTCTGCGCGGCGCCGTCTGGGTTACCGTCGGAGTCCGCGCTGGCGCGCGCGGGGGCGCGAGGGTCCGCGCCCTCGCGTAGCGGGGCCGCCGTGGTCCCAGGTGCCTGGTCACTGCGGACGTCGTCGTCGCCGTCGTCGTCGCGGTCAGCGCCGCCTCCTCTTTCGCCTAGGTGAAGGGGGGGTGCGGGGGAGGGGGGCGTGCAGCGCTGCCTCGACGTTCGCCCGCGCGGGCAGCTCAGCGGGGTTTCTCCGGCCACAGGGGGGGCTCCCAGACGTGGGACTGATGTCGATCACGCCTCGGGTCGCGTCCTCGGCTCCCGTGGCGTCGTGCTGGGTCGCCTGGTGGAGTCAGGCGGTAGCGCTCGGCGTCGGCGCGAGGCTGTCGCCGCGAGGGAGGGCGTTGCGGGGCTCGGCCAGAACGACCGATAGGAGGGCCATGAATGTGGCCACCGCGAACGGCGGCTGGGACGAGGCAGGCTTCGGCGCAGGCGCCTGAGCTGGCGTCGTCGCTGGCGTAGGCGCCGGGGTTGGTGCCGGCGTAGGCGCAGGCGCTGGTGCTGGCGCTGACAGTGCTGGCGTCGGCGCTAGCGATTGTGTTGGCGTCGGTGCTGGCGTAGGCGCCAGCGTTGGTGTCGGCGGAGGCGCAGGCATCGGTGCTAGCGCTGTCACTGCGCGCAAGTACTGGTGTCGGTGCTGGCGCCGTTTCTGGCGTCGGCGGCGGCGTAGGCGCTGGCGTTGGTGCCGGCGTAGACGCCGGCGTCGGCGCTGGCGACGTCAGTGTTAGCGTCGGTACTGTCGTCGATGCTGGCGTCGGTGCTGGCGAAGGCACCAGCGTTGGTGTCGGCGTAGGCGCAGGCATCGGTGCATGCACCGTCAATGCTGACGTCAGTGCTGACGTCGGTGCCAGCGTCGGTGCCGACGTCGGTGCTAGCGTAAGCGCTGGCGTTGGTGTCGGCGGGGGCGCAGGCGTCAATGCTGGCGCCGTGAGTGCTTACATCGGTATGGGCGCCAGCGCTGGCGTACGCGCTGGCGCTGGTGCTGGCGTAGGCGCAGGCTCAAGGACTGGCGCCGTCAGTGTTGCCGTCGGTGCTGGCGTCGGTGCTGGCGTCGGTGCTGACGTAGGCGCCAGCGAAAGCGCGGGCGTCGGTGTTGGCGCCGTCAGTGCCGGCCTCAGCGTTGTCGTCGGTGCTGGCGTCGGTGCTGGCGTGCGCTCTGGCGTCGGTGCTGTCGTCAGTGCTGTCGTCGGTGTCGGTGCTGGCGTTAGTGCTGGCGTCGGTGCTGACGTAGGCGCCGGCGTTGGCGCCGGCGTAGACGCAAGCGTCGGCGCTGGCCCTGTCAATGCTGGCGTCTGTGCTGGTGTCGGTGTTAGCCTCGGTGCAAACAGGGGAGCGGGCGTCGGCGCTTGCGACGGCGCGGACGTCAGGGCGGACGTCCGCGCTGCGTCCTGGTGCTGATCGCGGTGACGGCCCTCGGCGTGGTGACCGGTGTCCGCCGCAGCTGGTAGCACGACTGAGATCGGTACGCCTGCTGCAATACTACTCGACGCGTTTGTGCCCTGGGCGGGGGCACAGCGAAAAAACACGGCAGGGGGGAGCAGCCCGAAGATGACGAAGATGACGAATGGTGGCCCGACTAGGGGGGGACAATCCCGAGCCCCGCCGCGCCTATGGAGCCGCGGATGTTGCCGTCCCCTGTGATTCGTGCCGTCGCTAATGAGGACCGTGCCGATGGTGGTGCAGATCGTGCCGACGGCGCTAAGGGCGATGCTTCGGGGGTTGATGCGAAGAGCCCGGCTGGCCGTCGCAACGGCGCGGCGGCCTGAAGCGCTTGCAGGAGCGAGGCCCGCGCCGAAGACGCGGGGGAAGCCCGATACGAACCCGAAGACCACGCCGACGATCTCCAGGGCGGCGTGGAAATAATTGGGGTCGGGAACCCAGCTGGCCGCCGAAGCAGCGCGGTGGCCTTGATCGCGGGCGCGAAGCGTATCACGTAGGTCTTGAAGGTCAGTAAAATAGCCGCGAAGAACGGTGCAAAATAGATGCAGGTCGTGCCGTAGACGTAGACCACGGGTTCACGGAGCTCCGCTCGAAAAACACAAAGTGCTTGAGCACGGGAGAGATCCGGCCGTCTAGGATGGGCACGTGGAAAATGCGGTGGTCGTGGCGGTACCCCGTGAAACACAAATTTCGCTCAGGGAACGCAGGTTGCCCATGCAGTACCCGTTGGTGGAACGTGTCGCTGCACAAGTGGCCGGCGCTGCATCGCCATGGCGCGGCGGCCACGAACATGTAAACGTCGAGGGATGGGACGCCAATATGTCACGACCTGGGTCGTGTCCGGTCTTGCGAGGCCAGGCAGGATGCGGGATGCTTGGCCTCTGGGCTCGCTCTGAGCAAAGCTCTCGAGCCGAGACTCGAGCCAAAATGACTACGGAGAGAATGCGTGAGAGAGAGAGGGAGAGAGATAGGGAGAGAGAGCGAGAGAGAGAGAGAGAGCGAGAGAACAGCGAGAGAGAGAGAGAATGCGAGCAGCATATATTCATTTAGATAAATACGTAACACAACACTATATAAATATATGTACATATATATATAGAGAAAGCGGGAGAGAGAGAGAGAGAGAGACAAAACACAAAGAGAGAGAGAGAGAGAAAGCAAGAGAAAACAATCAGAGAGAGATATCTATAGAGACAGAGAGATAGAGAACAGCAAAAAACAAAACACAACAATAAAACACACACCAAACACAACAGAGAGCGAGAGATGGGAGCGGCATGGGAGAAGAGGGGACGGGGTAGGAGACTTGACAGAAGGCGTGAAGGGCGAAACGAGGAGGGAGGGATAGATAAGGAAGCCGCCCCGTTGCACGCCCCAGGACATCCTCCCGCGCGGTGTGTGAACATGTTGCTGTTGTTCTTGGAACAAGCGGGATCGCGTCTGAGAGCCCTGTGGAGTCTGGTACACTCGTGGCTTGGAAAGGTTATTGCGAGCATGGGGACTTCTAAGACCCAACCCCTGCCATTGCTTCAGGGTGGCAGTCGGCATTCGGTTCTTAGGCAACGTTGAAAACGCGACACTCTTCCTCGCCAAACTCTAGCCAAAAGCGCAGCAGACGAGCGTGCTGAACCCCATCGGGCGGCCCCCACTCCGCAAGTGGCTGATGGCAAAAACGCCGCTCGCTGAATGCAAGGCCGATGACTCGGCCGTCCGATTGAGCAGCGCTGCCAACACAATCTGTGACCACCCGTTGTTTCTCCAACGTCAGGCGACCAACGGGGTGACAGCGCTCCCCCGCGCGTGCCCGCGAAGCGCGGCCCGAAAAACTACAAAGAGGATACGACGCTGGTGGCGGCCGCCGCGCGGTGGAATGACAAAGAGGAGGGGGAGCAGAAGGCCAGCACAGCCAGCCGACGCCGGCTTCGCCAGAGCGATGCAAGCTCCTGGGACCCTGTCCGCGGCCTGCGCGGGCAAGGACCCGCGCCCCGAGCGAAGGCGGCGACGACGACGGGCGCAGGGAAGCGGCCCTCGCCGCGCAAATGGCGTCCGTGACGGCAGCGTCCGCGGCAGCGCAGTCAGCGGCCGCCACGCGCGCCGCGGCGACGCGAGCCTTGCCCCGGGCCCCCAGCGCAGAGCGCGGCCAGGCAGACGGCCCGCAAAGCCACACGTAGGGTGGCAAGCTCGTGCCGCACCAGCGCCAGTGACTGCGGCGGTGGCGCCTGCGGCGCTTGGGTGGCGGTAGCGTGAGGCCTGGCCCACGGCCGCCGCTCGGCAGCAGAGTCACGCGCCTCAGGGCGCCTCGCGGTCCACACACAAGACGCGCTTGTGGTTATGACCACACGGCCCGCCATCACTGTCACCGCGACTTATCATCACGGACGTTGTCGTCTTATCTGACGTGAATGGACTGGCGGGTTCGCCGCTGTCGTCGGCAATACCATACGGCCCCTCTGGCGGTTATGGGATGCATGAGTACCTGGATGTCCAGAGACACGACCACATTCATACTCAGAGAACCAATCACAAGGTAAATGCCTCCAGCTTGCTTGTGCGCGAAATGTCATACACCACTGGTCTCGGGGGGGCAGCCATGCAAAGAACAGCATATGTCGGCTGCTCGGACGCCCGTAGTCCAATCAAAGAAGCCGTACGGAAACACGAAGTGCAAGCAATGGGCACGGATATCAAATCGGCCCGATCGAATATACTGCCTTCGAGCGCTTTTGGGCAGGACAAGAGAGCCGGAACGACTCGCTGCGATGATTTGGGTCGGGCCCTAGAGCTCCGAAGGCGGGATGCCATCCACGGTGCAAGAACGTCTGCAACTTCATCCGGTGAAGCGAGGCAACGAGATGATCACAGTTAGGGGTGAACATATTCAAACATCAGATGCAAGATAATAGGACTAAGTATATAGAGCGGAGGTGGTATGGATGCTACCCTCCTGCACAGTCTTACATGTCCATTCCAACTCGTGATATACCCGACACAAGCAAGGAGGTTGAGCAGAGTGAGGGGAAGGAAAAGGAGAGGCTGGAGGGGAGGTGCAGAAGAAGGCACGGGAAGAAAGACATTGTGTATGCAAAACAGCGTAACTGTTACTTCAATTAGCGGCCTCCTGTTGCACTCTGCCCCGCAAAAAAAACCAAGGTCTCCTGTTCAAAAGGGTAATGGAGGTTGCAGCATTGGTCCTCCTCCGCGTCCCCCTCATCCTCCTCCCCCTCAAGCTTTTGCTCAAACGTGCGGCAAATCAAAATTGCAAGCGGGAGGGGAGCCAGGCAGCCAGGGCTGCCGATGGCCTCGATGGCGCCGACCGCCCAACCCATCATGCAGATCATGAAGAAAGCAAGCCCCAGGATGATTATGACAACCAGCCCAGTGACCTGCATGGCCTGGAAGGGAGGAGCAGGGGAAGGAGCGGAAACGGGTGAAGGAAGGGAGGAGTGAAACAAAAGGGAGGGTTTCCTGGCTGACATCGTACGACTTCTCGCCCAATCCATCGTCCTAGATCTCCTGCAATGGTCCTTCTCTTGGGATGCTGCGCTTCGCCGTTTTCCTGCCGCCACGAACTCCCGTCTCGCAGATCAACCGTTACGCCCGATGTGACGCACACATCGGACAAACGTACTAGACATCCTAATCACTACTGATCCGATGCACTTGGGCGATGACGACTCTTATCCAGCATGTTCAACGCGGCTGGATTCGACCCGACACCTCGATATGATTAATTCCGCGAGTGTGTTCAGGTATGGGGTTTCCTCAACGCTCCATGGCCAATAAGCTCCAACAACGCGGGAAACGTGAGCGACAGGTCCATTACGCGCGGGATCCTAGGATCGGCACTTTCTTGCTGCAAGAGAATCCCCGTTCGCTGCTTCGAATGGTTCTGGCTGGTTTCTCTTGGAGTCGGCAGTTGTCCTCTGGAGCGCACCCACGGACGACAACTAAGCATCTAAGATGCAGAAAGGCATGACGATTCCGCAAAGAGCTTGATCACATACCATCATACTTGGTTGCCAAAATGATGGCGGAACGAAAGGCCGCCGCAGCCGGCGCAGTCCGCGTGATATGTGGCACTCGGCGCGACAGATCTCGCAAAAGACCCTGGCAGAAATTTCAAACGATGGCTGTCGCGCAACAGCGCCGTACAATTGATGCTCGAGAGAACTTGCATCTGCGAAGGGCTCCGGGGTTCACGCTAGAGCTAGTTCCATACATCCGTTCACGAAGGGCACAGTGTCCCAACCCTACCGCCATCAACCATGTCCTACGCCTCTTCCTTTTTCCTCCCCTTCTCCTCTTTCTTATCCCTTTTCCCCTTTCCCATGCCCTCCACGTCTGTGTTGTGCCCTCCGCTACCGAAACGAAGGACACACACTTCTGCAAAGAACAAACCGCATCGCAGTAGCGCGGGGGTCAACCAGGTGTGGGAGCGATGCAACTTATCTATAGCGAATGGCACGTGCGTGCCCAAGCTCATATGAACACATCTGAACTGTGTGTCTGGTGTGTAAAAATAGGATTATGTATGCTGTGTGTTGTATGTGTGTGCGTTGAGTGTGTTACGTGTGAACTATGCGTGGGTCACCTGCGTTTTGTGAACTATGTGCGGCATTTGTTGTGTAGGTGCGTTGTGTGTGTGTGGTGCTTGTGTTGTTTGTGTTGGTTGTGGTGTGATGCGTGACGTGCGATGTGTGATATGTGATGTGTGTGTGGGTGCTGTGTGCGTGCGTGTGTGTGTGTGTGTGTGTGTGTTCGTGTGTGCGCGCGCTTCTTCGCGCTACTTGCACCTGCATGGCTTTATGTTGTGCCTGTTGCTCGCCTGGCAGCGGCGCCTGCCCCGCTGGTGCCTGTCTGGCGCCGCCGCTCGCTTGCTGGTCTGGCAACTTTTAATTGCTCTTCTTTCGACCAACTAGTTAGCACCAGACTACTGCCCGCACCTCAACTCCTGGCGTCGAGCTACGTTCCGCGGGATGCTTGGCCGCTTCAGTTTGGCTTTGCAGCGCCTCACCTTTTCACCAACACCACCACCAATATGCATGGCCGTGGCTGGCCTCTGTCATCACGGCGCATTCGAATAAATTCGTTCGCGAGCGGCACCTTCATTGGCCGAGCGCGCCTGAGGTTCCTTTGCGTCGCAGACTTCAACATGTGTGTGTGCGGTGGTCATCATGTGTGTGTCTTGTGGTTTGTAGGTGTTGTGTGTGTGTGTTTTCCGTTGTGCGTCTGTTGTGTGCGTTGTGTGTGTGTCTGTTGCGTGGTGCGCGTGTGTGTCTGGTTCCACCCGCCCGGCGCTCCGTGCTCCCACTCTGCGCGGCCCAAAGCCTACCCCCCGCTGCCTCGCCATTGGGGTGGCGGCCTCCTTGGCGCTGACCCGCTCTTCCTCTGTCGCATGAGTGCACCTGTTCGGTGCTATCCCCCGCCCACCCGGGCTGCCCTCCTGGGCCCTTTGCTCCTTTCCAGCACATTCGGAGCACCTGTTCGGTGCCTTCTTCTACGCCGCTTTTCCTGCACCACCCGGTGCTACCCCCCGCGCCGCGCCGCCTCTTCCCGTGTTTTTGCCGCCATCCCGCCCTGCGCGCGGGCGGCCTGCCCCCCGGCTACGTGCGGGGCGGGGCTGGCTGCGCCATCGGCTCCTCGCGGCACCCGCGCAGCCTAACTGACGCAGCCCTCTCGCTCCACGCTGCGTTCGCCGTCCGCGAGGCCCTCGGCATCCGCCCGCCCGCCTTGCTTGTTACCCTTGCTTGGCAGCCGCTCCGCGCTCCCCATGCCCGGAAGGAGGCCCCTGCCCTGCCGCTGCATCCCCTGTCCTGGCAGGACGGATCGCCGGCCTTCTGCAGGTCGGGGCGCGCTTGGCCAGCTGCCGGCGCCGCGCTGGCCGCCCCCCCCACCCCCCTTCTGCCCGGTTTTCCAGCTGGGCCGGCGTGCTCCCGCGCCGGTACCGCGGCGGGCCTTCCCCGCCCTGCTGCTCCGCCCCGCCCTGGCCTCTCCCGCCCCGCCTCCAAGTTCCGGGCTGGCCGCGATTGGGTCCCTCGCAGGTCCGTCGGATCTCGAAGCCTCCGCTTGCCCCCGCGTGCTCCCCCCCTTTGCTGGGCCCCTCCCCCGGCCTGGCCCCTCCCCTGAGGCGGTCTTCTCATGGCTCCGCCCTGTCGCCTGGAGGTCTCGCCGACCTCGGCGCTCGGCCGCCTCGCTGTGCTGCTCGCCCCCAGCCCGCGCTGGGCCCCCCGCGTGGCTCGGCCGCCTCCTGGCTGCTGCCTCCCCCCGGCTGCCCCGCGGCCGCCGCTACCCGCTTCCCCAGCGCTGCCCCTGCCGCGGCCTGGCCCCGCTCTGAGCGGGCCCGGTCCCCCCTCCCTGCCGCCCGTGCCGAGCCTCCTCCTCTTCCCTCTCTGGCATCGTGGTTAAATTCGCATCTGCTTGCCCTGCGCATGCTCTATCCGCCAGCGCAGTCACTCTGCCTAGCCGCCGGCGCAAAAACTGTGCGTGTGTTCTGTGTGTACTCTTTGTGTATATTCTCTGTGTGTGTGTGTGCTGCACGTTGGATTCCGACGTGAGCATGCTACTATAGAGAGGGCTATGAAACAAACATTGACACACATATTGCGCGTATCTGTGCATATACGGCCTGGCAAATCGGGGCGGCATCAACGCGACGCCAAGGGGCGTCGTGGACTCGAGCCTGTGGCCTGGAAGCACGAGGCGCACGATTACCCATGTCGTGAAATCCTGCAACGGGCAGCCGTTTTCTGGGGGAGGGGAGCACGGACACGCAGAACACTGTTCAGCTAAGCGTTAGCTGGCGCCCGCCTCAAACTCATGCGCCGTCCCCCGCCTCCTCCCAATCCCCTTCACTTTAGCCCCGCCCTCCTCATGCCCCTCCGACTGCCCCAGTCCTCATCATGCCCCTCATCCACATTGTCACCCATATGTGGAAATTCATGTCGTTCCCTGGATGAACTCCCCCATCGCCCACATCCTCTACGCACTAGTGCAGATCATGCCCCCTCCTTCTGCCCCGCCCCGCCTCCCTCGCCCCCCGCGATGCTGACGCCGATGATGCAGCTCCTCCTGGGCCCATGTCCTCCCCTCTCGTCTAGCCCCGTTCATCTCCGGCCCCTTGGCCACCCCTCCAATCGAACCCCTTCCTTCCCACAGCCCACCCCCCCCACCCCCCCGCGCCTTTGCGCTCCCAGACCGCGGCCGCCTCCTGGACCAGCCGGGAGACCGGCTGAAACTCCCGCCCAGTGACCACTCCAGCGAGCGGCGCGCAGCTGATGCACGGTTGGAGACACGAGCTGTGCATTTCGACCGCGCGCGACCCCCCCCCCTGGACCAGTCGAAAGAAATCAGCCGACCCCTTCTGGGTCTCTAGGCGCGCGCAATAATCCCCCCCCCTACCCCCCCCTCCCCCCCCCGCGGGGCTCCCAACTGGAGATTTGACCCCCCCCCCCCCGCGCCGACGCCGAGCGACTCACGGGACTCTTTTGGGCTCAAAAGGGGCGAAGGCTCAAAGACGCCTCTAAGGCGGCCCACGGAGCCCCGAGACGCCCAACGAGCGCTCCGAGACGCCCAACATGGCCCCAAGACGAGCCAAGAGGCCTCCAAGACGGCCCACGAGGCCCCCAAGGGCAGTCCTCAGAAGGGCAGAAGAGCCGACAATCGTTGCATTTCTATGTGAAAACGTACACTTTGATCATATACGACTTGCCAGCCTTCACGGCGTTGAAGATTGTCCAACAGCGCTTCAGGGCCGCCCCAAGAGGCCCCCAAGAGGCGCCCAAGTCGACCCCGGAGGGCGCCAAGACGGCCCAAGAGGCCCCCAAGATGGCCCAAGACGGCCCCAAGAGGGGGGGGGGGGAGGGGGGGAAAAGGAAGGGGGGGGGGGGGGAACCCACAAGCCGAGCCTTCCGCCCCAAGACGGCCCCAGAAAACCCCAAGAAGCCCGAAGAAGCCCCCAAGACGCCCCCAAGAGGCCCCAACAGGCCCCCAAGAGGCCCGTACACGGCCCCAAATCGGCCCCCAAGAGAACTCGAAACCGCCTCGAAGAGTTCCCCGAGAGGCGAGCCGCGAGATCCCGAGACACCTGCAAAAAGCCTCTAATCCATGACCTATGACCCAGGTAATTTCCTCCGCGCCCCCCTTCTTCTCCCCCTCGCCCTCCTCTTTCACCTCGGCCACCCAGTGGCTTCGCAACTGCTCTGCTGTCCAAAGGCCCGCGCCGCGAAATCCTGATGCAAAGACAGGAACCTCTCACCCGCAGACCATATCCCAGAGCCTCCTCTCAGTGTCTCCCTCCTCCTCCTCCTCCTCCTCCTCCTCCTCCTCCTCCTCCCCCCCCCCGCCCTCTACTCGCCCCCCTCGCCCTCGCCCCCCCCCCCCCTCTGTTTCCTGG